TCTTGAAACAAAGATATTCACCCTCCATCCTACTTTTTCCCCTTGCCTGCCTGGCAAACCCTGGTCTCGTCCTACTGCTTCTGTCCACCGTCATCCTCTTTCCCAGTTACGGATGCAGGAGCACCACAGTGAGCGAGGGCAAAAGGACCTTTCACCCTGTCCCTGCGTACCCATTCGCGTACTGGACCCTTCATAGCTGAGCAGAGATGAGCTGGTCCATCCTAGCTGCAGACATTTTCTCTTTTACAAAATGCGAATGAGACAGTGTGGTAATTTTATGCAAATCCATGTGCAGATTAAAAAAATAATCAAATTCTGAAATTTTCATTTAAAGAAATTAGTCTTGAAAAATCCCCAGTCTAATTCTCCCAGAATAGTCACTTGGAACAAACCTTCACCACTTTGTTTTCCTCCTGGGTTCAGTGCATCTCCTGGAAAATTTTCTCGTAATGCATTTGGGACCATCTGGAGCAGCAAGTTTGAGTTTGAGCAGGGCTTACCAGGCAAATAAGAGTTGATATATCAAATGATAGAAAAGATGTGTCAGTAAGTGGGAACAGGGGAGTTTAAGGCAGTAAAATCTCTGCTCTGTTGTACTTCATAGGTAAACTCCCATGGTAATGTATAAAAAATGGAAGCGGTAAGCCTCAGTGAGTCTAACGGTAATTTACGTACCAAGAGGCCAGAAGAAAGTCATGTAGCAAGAAAAACGAGTAGCAAGAGACACTGCTAAAACTTGTGTCTGGTAGTTTACTACTGTAACAAAGATGTAATCTGTCTTTTAGAGTTTGAGCTCAAAATTATCCTCAAACAATTGGGGCTTGATCCGGTGCCATCTCAAATATTTTCCAAGCCCCTCAGGCATTTTGGAGTTGACCCTGTACACAATGGGCCAGCCACCAATCACTGCCACGCTGCGGGAAATCCAGAGACATCCCAATGACATTAAACTACCTTAGACCCCTGAAGATCTCAGTTAAATTAGACATCCCAGAGCATTAATATGCAGCATCCTCTGATCTTGCAGCATCCTCTGATCTTGCAGCACCTGAGACGCTCGGGATGTGTGACTGGGTTGGCCTGCAACAAGCCCAATTGCCCCAACTTCAAGAAAACCACAAGCCCGTGATGCAAACCCTTGAACAAACCCCCGACCGCAGCACCTGGAATAGCTCAGCTCTGCCCAGCCGTGGCGGACCAGCCTCTAGAAGGGAATATTTTTCTGGCTTTCGAGTACCTGCCATGGAGCGAGGTGCTGGCTCATTTTTCTCACTGTATGTCCACAGCCAGCTCATTTGTTCACTCTTTTCCTCCCCAGTGTGACTCCAAGTTTATGGCTCAGACTCTGCCCCCCTATGTCCATGCTTTTGGTCTCATGCCACCATCCAACTTACCTGGCAGCCTATCACATTCTGCCCCTAGTGCTGGATTGTTTCTGTCTCCCTCTGACTTTGGCTCCTTGCCTGCAGAATTGCTTTAATTAAAAAGTTAATGAAAGGTAATGCAAACAAGCGCTTTGCCTGTATTTTATCACAGTCCAGCTCCTCTCCCTCCCTGTTTCCCAGAGATGGGGGAAAAGAGGAGCTGGGGTTTTGCTGATTTTTGTTGTAAAAGTTAACAGTGGAAATTTCTGCAGGCTTAGGAGGAGCCCTGTGAAGAAAGAGCTTATAATGGTAATGAATGCAAACAAGTATGTAGATGGTGAACGTTATTCATCAGTGAAAGCTGAGGAAGTTTTCATTTAAAGGGGATTAATCTGAACCCGTTACAGTCCTCCTGCTCTCTTTGGAACAGGCAATTCTTAGCATCATTTTCCTCCTAAGCTTAGTGCGAACTTCTAGTAAACTTTCCAAAAGACTATCTGCACCCCAACTCCAAATTATCCCGAGCAGGGATGAAGGGAAGGTGTAAAATCCAAGCCCCACTATTACCTATCGCTTGTCACCTTATATCCATATAGAAGAGGGCTCGTTCATCCCTATGTGATTTCCCTGAGAAACTGAGGAACAAAGATTAGCGCGTGAAGCATTATGAGTCACATCATCAGCCCCTTCTCCCAGCCCAGATTCCTCCCAGCCAGCAGTGGAAAGAGGAAAACGCAGGGATGTGAGGATGTCATTTCCCCACGTGCAATACGCAGCAGCTAACTGGCAATTACGTCATTTCTAGACCCACCATCCGTGGAGGTAGTCTGAGAGCTGCCATTTGGATTGTTTTTCTTTCCAAGGCTGCCTATGCCTCGGTGTGGGGTGATGTTCAGTTCTCCTGATCTTGTTTTTAAAGCCCTAATAAAATGAGTAGGAGTTTTAGTTTTTGTTAATATCTACGGTGGATTTCATAGCACTGATTTATAGCTGTTCCCTGATGACGTTTAGTACCTGGTACCTGAGACTGTATAAATAAATTACATAAAAATGGATTTGTGGCATTAACAGCACCCCCATTCCAAGGGGAGCCTCCAGTGAGCCTGCGTGTCTAATCAGAGCTGACAAGGAGCGGAGTTACACACCGAGACCTCCAAAGCTAATGGGTCTGTGCCAAATTCAGCTCTCCGTTGCGTTGCTGTAAAGTTGGATAACCTCTGGCTGCAAGGGGATTTTACACCAGATTTACTCTGCGTTTACACCTGTGCACAGAGATCAGTGCCAGGGCTCCTGTGCAGGCAGCATGCCCTAAAATCCTTAGAAGCCATGGAAAGACACATGCTGACTTCAACAGACTCTGAATCAGGCCTTGATGGTTAAAATATAATCTGAGCTCAGAGTGCAGAAAACAGATTACATGCCTGCTATTGTAGTGAAATGCTTTCCAGAGCAAGCATTAGCAGTATGTACACAAGTGTGAGATGAATTAAGCTGGCATTTATTTTTTTTCAGCCCCAGTAGGAGAGGATTGCTTTTAAACAACTCACGCCTGCTGTGTCGTGTCTGGAGTTGGAGCTGAGCGGAGCTGCCGGGAGGGCATGTGTGACAGGAGCCGCAGCTGCAGGTCTGGTTGTGCTCAATTCTCCTAGTCTTCAGGGTCAGCCGTGCACAGAAACATCAAGGCAGAGACAGAGCCTGTTAAAAGGTTTGGGGTTTTATTTTCTTAAACTCCCCTGGCTCCATTTAAGCCTTTTTTCTACAACCACTTCTGCAAACCCTGTATTGCAGCTCAGACGAGGTGACCTGGGGCGTGATGCACTTCTGTTTTGTACACCTTCCTCTGATTGCGCTGTGCTGCCAGGTGAATCGGAGACCTGCTGGGAACGGAGATGCTAATCTCAGTTCCCGAGAGGTGTACAGCTGACTTCACTGGTGTTAGCAGGGTTACTCTGGCCCTCATTGTAAGAGGGCTGAGGCTCAGTGGTTTAAACTGCTGGCAGCACCGACTGCTGTGGAGTTTGGGACTCCAGTAACAAAGTGGTCAGGACACACTGTCTTTTATTTATTCTTATCTCTCCTCGTGACTGAAAAGCCAGTCTTTCTGAGCAGTATCTAAAGGGAGTGTAGATAGGTAGTTTCTCTCTCCTGGGTTTTGCCTTTAAAAAAATCTGTTTCTCCTAGCATTAAATCATTTTTTCCTCTGGCAAACCTATGATTTGCAATACAGTTTTACCTGCAAGTCCCTCATCCAATAGATTTCAGAGTGTGTCCAAGTTTCATTGCCTGAGAAGGTGCTTGTGTGAAGGTTTTCAGAGCCTTTGGGGTTTTGCAGCAAAATGAGGCAGATTTACACCCAGAGAAGCTGTTGGAAAACTTGTCTGGCTTAATCATTAACACTTTGCAATGCTATAGCAGTGTTAGGGCAAAGAGACCTCTGGACTTGTGAGCTTTCCCAGAAGAAGCCAGTCACTGGCCTTGCACCGAAACACATCCATTTACTAGAGAGGATTAACTCTCTCAGGTACTTTGAACGGTTCTGTGATGGAGTGTGTTGCCAGGGCTGCCTCAGCCTCCTGGCACCCTGCCTTAATTGCCTGTGCCATAATTGCCATGAGCGGGAGAGATGCAGATCACAAGGATCTTTGATCCTGAGAAACCAGCGGTGAACTTGCTGCCAGTTAACAAAGGGAAGGAGAAATGCTGGGAGGGAATAGATGTGTGCGTGCTGGCAGGGGCTGCTTTCCTTTGTCAGGACAAGTGTCTGCCCTTGAGCAGTTGAGATCCTTTGGTCCACACTCATCTCTGTTGTGTATAATGCTAATACTCAGTGGAGAATAGCTCAAATGGCCTTTCACAGACACGTCTGGCAACTTCGCCTGGATCTGAAGTCCTATTTGTGCTCTAAATGTGATTGTAATGGATAATGAGAGGACTGAAAAATAAAGGTGAATTAAGCCTTATGTTAATTTGCTGTTTGGTGGGGAGGCCTCTCTACTTGTCTCTCTGCGGCCACCAGCAGCAAGGGATCAGGCAGCCAGCAAGCCTGTTGTTTCTCCAAAGTCCACGCCTGATGCTGCAGGGGCACAGGGGGCAATGCGCAGCCAGGGAATGAGATCAGCATTTGGCTAGCATGAGGAAGGGAGTTAATGTAGTGAAAAGCTGTTCCACCCAGAGGCCCTGCTCTCTCCAGGACAGAGAGCAGCTTCCACAGTTTGGAAAGGCGTCAAATGCCGAGCAAATAGAAGTGATGGCTTGCCAGTGGCGAATCTACAGTGGTGAGAAGCTGGCTGGCAGGGCTCACCTTCCCTGTGGGAGGTGATGGGATTGCAAGGGAACCACAAGCTGACAGGTAGTTTGAATGTGACACTGTCCTTCCCTCCCTCCTGCTTGGACAGAGGTTTGAAAATGCCATTGATATGGCACCATAATCTAGAGGAAACAGGAACTAGAGCTCTGTGGTTCATGTTTTGCCCTCCCTGCGCTCTCTGTGACAGCTCTGTCTCTTCTGCTAGCAAAAACGTTCACTTTCCCTTGCAGGTTGGAACCCCAAGCTCTTGAGGCCTTGCCGGTGTCAGCAGAGTGTGTACAAGCCCACCCCACCAAGCAGACATACTCAGCCTGGCCGCCCTGGGCAGCATGTCCCTCCGTGAGCATGCGCTGTCCCTCTTCCGCAGCGCAGTGGGCACCGTCCAGCCGGCTGCAATGCTGAAGAGGGCTGTGAAGCTCCAGGGAGGTGAGTGCCCTCAGCTGCTCGTGAAGGGCCGGGCCTTTCCAGTGAAGAGGGACCTGTACCTGGTGGGTTTCGGCAAAGCTGTGCTGGGGATGGCCGCAGCAGCAGAAGAAATCCTGGGAGACCACCTCGTTCAGGGGATCATCAATGTGCCACTAGGCATCCAGGAGAGCCTGCAGCGAGCAGGAACGCAGTAAGTGGGGCTGTATCTGGACAGTTTGGGGGGGTAGGCTGCCAGATTTGTCCTCTGTGGGATATTGCTCTGAACCTCTTCAGTCTTTTCCAGCTGCCCTCACTCTGGTGCCTACCCCATCTACCACACTGCCCTGGTCCTCAACCATCACATCCCAGTGGCACCAGTGACACAGCCCATGTCTTGCACTGGACGCACTGCGATCCCAGCCCTTGGGAAGAGACACTGAGCAAAGGTCACTTCCCTATCCTGGTTACTTGCCATACACCAAACCCATTTTCCTGCTG